GTTTGACTGGGGGCTTTAGCAATCGATTTCGCAACGACTGCCAGCAACCTTCACTCGTAACAGGTTGGTGAGTATTCATTTTCTCTTCATTACCAGTGGTTGCAAAATGACTCTGCCGAATGAGTGTCTAGGTCTGTCTGACTGAGGCTTAAAGCTAGATAAACATCTACACCTACCAACAACAACCTTACAACAACATATAACACACATCAAAACTGGCAACAGCCACAACATTTTTATTTATTTTGAGTTGCGTTGCTGACCATCCAAAGAACACCATTCCAGGATTCACTCTCCCTTTTCTTCAGTTTTACTTTCCACTGATATTTGGCTGCTTAGCTGCCAAATGTTCCATCATGATATCCAACCATTCGATCTATTGATACTCATCAATGCATCTTTAATCAAACTATATATTTTTTTCAAACTAAGTACCTTGAGATCATTAAAATGAGAGAAACTGAAAATGTTCTCATTAAGCTAAAAAAAAAAAGATCCCCAAAAGGTCCATCATTAAGGCAGGCTAAAGCTCAACTACTCAGTTGTTTCTTTCTAGTTTGAACAGCACTTAATTAAGTTTATTAAGACGTATCTATCAAGAAGGTGGATGAGTTCATAGCTGTCTAATATGTCTAAGAATTTGGGATGAACACTTTTTCTTCTGTGAATTCATCGCAGCTGAGTCACCCCCACAGAACCATTAATCTCACACACAGAGACCTGATGAAAGCTTGAGTACGCACACCTTAGGAGTGTGTGTGTGTTGACGTCTGCAGGAAGAACACCTGTGTGGATTCTGCTTGTTGCACATACGTACCAGCACACACACTTTATTTTTAAGGGAATACGTTATCACTGTTATGCTTAGAGCTTATAGTTTGTCAGAACAGTACATTTAGAGGTACATTGGCTTAAAAGTACTTTGCTAAAGAAGTAGCGTTTGAAGAAGGTTAAATTTAATTTACCTTCAGCGTTCTGCCCATGAGTTCAAAATTCTGTGTCAAAATAAGATACTATACTCCTGAACCAGATAATATTGAATTTTCTTGTTATTTTAGTGGAGATATAAAACATTTAGCCTTCCAGCAGAAACAACAGTATGTGTAACAGAGTAAGACAAATGCCTCAGTGGAGCTTTTTTTCCACTACTTGGAAGAGAAAGGTGAGAAACATTAGAGGGAGGTTTGACAAGATTTAAAGAATTTTACCACATTTTTTCCCCTGTTTTCTATGATCATTCCTGCATGGATCCAGCAGTGGAGATCTAACCAGTCAGTGGAAAACCCCACAGAGGATAGACAGAGAAAGAAGAAACAGGATTGAGGCATGGCAATGCACACATACACACACACACACAGGCCTTCACACATCAGTCAGACAGCCCTCTAGTCAGGAGAACCCCTGGCTCACCTTCACACAGATTCACAGATCACACGCACACACACGCACACACACAGAAGTTGTGCTGACATGAATCTGTGCAGTCACTTTGAGTCACATAAACATGCCTCCCCCTCCCTGCAAACACACACACACACACACACACTTCAAAGGAAGATTGTAACCCGACAGACCAGCAAAGCACTAAGAACCCATATAGTTTTTTTCCTCTCTATTTTATCTTCTCCGAAACCCACCTGTTTCTTGAAAACTTTTAAGTCATACATGCCTCTCTCTCTTTCCTAGTTTTTAAGATGTTTCTCTCTTGCTGTGTCTGACATAAAGTTTCAGTCAGTATCCATATGCTGGTACTCAGGTACCGTTTGTGTGATGTTCTTTTCCTCTTAGCCTACACTGTACACCCCTATCAGAGGATTACACACACACTGAACCGTGTCCTAACTAGACACAATGTAACCGTGCTCCAGCCTGTACAACTGGGCAGATATGAACGAAAGCACTATGTAATCTTATCTGAAACATGTTGCCAAGCTGATGAGCCAGTATGCTGGCACCATCCTATGCATGACAGTATCTCCTTGATGTGAAATGCAGCTGGACACATAAAAGAATTTCAGGCAAATAAGAAAGAGCTGCTCTCTTCCCAGTTTCACACCAGCCAGATGTTTCAGGGTACAGGCAGTCTTCCATCAGTACTGTACAGAGTTAGGCTTTGTTAGGCCGTTTTAGCCTTGACCCCAGTACACAGGGGTCCTGTGGATGTCACAACAGGGGGTTATTCAGTACTCCGATAACTATAGAGCCTGTTCAAGCACTTAGCCTGCACAAAGTAGATTAAAGGTTACCAAACATTACGTGGGGGGCAAATCCCTTAATCACACGTGGGCCTCAGGTAATTCTAGTCCCGTGTGAAGAGTACTTAAGGTGTGCTAAAGTAATTCTAAAGATTGACATGTTTCTTGGTTATGCTAACTAGCTTACTCCAGTTTCACTCTCCTTTCAGAGCCTTAATTAAATTTTGTTTGAATTATTAAACTTTAACAAACAGATGCACAGAGTGATAAAACATGCTTACCTCAAGGGCCATTTACAAGATTTTCCCTAGCTTTTGATCTTCATGCACAGCTTTTATCCAAAGATAGAATTGGATTATTTTTTGGACTATCCTAAGCACCTTTACCTTTAATTCATTTTGCTATACCCACAAAAGCTTGCAGTGCACTTTAAGTCGCATATCTGTAAAATGTTATTATAGCTAGTTAAGTTGCTAATTATTGGTAGCTCCATTAGATGTTTGAAGAAGTTGTTCTCACTGGGAACATTGTTTTTGCCTCCACAGAGGTTTAAGCCTTTACAAAATGTTTCATATAACCACACAATAAAATATAGAATCTGTACAAAAGGAGCCAGATTTTGGTAATACAAGCTTCAGTAGAGGAGGCTTTGGGAAAAAACAGTAAATGAAGAACACATTCACTGACGTGCAATCTCAAAAGCACTCACTGTCATCTGATGATGAAACACATTTTTAATTTATCTGTATTTATAGTGAACAAGGAACGGGAAGTCTTGCCCCAGACTTCTAGTTATCTGTTATTTGCATATCTGCTGCAAAGTTTTGCAGTTGTAGAAACATTTCATCACTCATCCAAGTGACTTCTTCACTCTCAGCCAACTGCAGGTGTCCCCAACCTTATAAACACTGCAGTTGCACAATGACTGAAACTAGCACCAAGTTGCAAGCTCAGTTTCATGATCGTTAATATGCAAATTATCATGACCATTGATCAGTGACTATGAGTACTATTCACAGTGTTGGGATGGTGATGGTGACAGAGTTCAGCAATGGTCATTCCCTTTTCACATATAAAGCCTCCCTGAGTTCCATCAAGTCAAATGCAATCAACTTTCTGTGATTAAGAACTGATGATTTCATAAGACTGGGCCTTTTATAGTAAAAAAGGGGAACTTTAAGATTATAATTTTTGAACAGCTGCTAACTGGACTTTGAAGTGAGCAGCTAGTAAATAATCCTTTGAATTATAGTGTTTGGTCAATATCGATACTGAACTCAACACACCGTGTTAAATGAAATGGGAAATATTCTGTGCAAAATGCTTTAAACACTACTAAACAAACATCATGCTTTCTCGTCTTGATGCATTCTCAATCATCCAGGAAAGTAAATCTCCAAAAGTTGATTCTGTTCATCTGGATGTAGGGTTTTGTGGGAGAAACGTTTCGTCACTCATCCAAGTGACTTCTTCAGTCTCAGCTGACTGCAGGTTTGGGAGGTCCCCAGCCCATTGTTCCTTCATTAAGGCAGTGAAGACTCTAATGATGATTAAAGCTGGCTGAAAGTCGAACAATGGACTGCAATCTCTCTTTAACTTTTGCCATTGTGACATTTGACCAAATCAGTTTCAGGTGTGTTAAGAATGAGGGATGACTCACACAGGATATATGAATGAAAGAGCCATAGCATTAGCCCTGTCAATCACGTGTCTAGTTGGAGATCACAGCAACTCATTGCCCCATCTCGCTGTCCTCCGTACTTCAAATTGTGATCCATTTAACTACAAAAAAGATGCTAAATATTTTTTCCAATTCAGGCTTTTTTTTAAAACAGATTTTGTGGACGTTGTTAACTAAGAGAGGGCTGATAATCCAGCTATCAGGTTATCTGTGCCATGTAACATGTATAGCATGATGTATAGTATATTGAAGGGGAAATCTAGCAATATTACTTGTCAAAAACAATGTACCAGTTTTGTAAATGACTATTTTAACTGTATAAATAACTTAAATTAATATCAGTGTATAAATCAGTACTATGTGCAGCTCTTGATGTGATTATTAAGAATGGAAAAATGCCCAAATGATGTCTTTTCAGTTGTCTTGTTTTTTTGGAGAGTAACAAATATTAAAGTTGAAATATGGGAATTTTTCTGTGTGTGTGTTTGAATCACAGAATAGGGTAGCTTTCAACTTTTACTTCCTCGTATCTTCTTTCTTCCTGTTTTCTGGATATTGCCCCTGCCTCCCAGTAGACAGGGATTGACAAATAAGGAGGCTTCTAGAAGAGCTGAGAGGGAGGAATCACACACGTGTGCTATACAGAAGTCTTATATAAACTGTTTTCACACAAAAATGCTACAGCACCACAGTTTAACATTGCAAAAGACTTAAAGTGCCTCTATTTAGGATAATGTATACATTTCTTATGGATGTCTGTTTTTAAGGTTAGTGATTGGTTGTTCCAGACAAGTTCTCCAGATAAATGTTGTACTAGTCATAAAGAAGTCAACATTTTTAATATCATTGCCAACATGCAGATTAAGTTAACCACATTGGCTCAAACAGACAAAGCACTGGAAAGATTGGAAAGACTGATATGATCGTTACTGCAGTTTAAGAAGTCATAGCGTCAATATGCAGAACACAAAGTCTCAAAAAGTATGAAAAGACCTCCTTCAATGACCACAAAACAACAGTTTATACTATGATGATAAAATAAATAAGAAAAATCTCGTGCATATTCTGGATGTTTTTATTTTATTTTATCTCATAGCTGTAAAAATATAGTCTCAAAATAAATAAATATATGAAATAAATATACTGTATGTCCTTGGAAAGGAAAACTCATAAATAAGAATAAAGATTTCAAAATGTCTGTAAAGGTGTCTTTGTCAGTCCCATCCATTGTTTGACAGCAGTCGGAATTCCTTCACTGGCTTCCATAAGAGCTCCATTACAAAACGCACCATCCCACACACAGGACACTGTTAATTCTTCTCTTCCTCCTCATGCATTTTGCAGAAAAAATCATAGTCTGGATTGATTTCACCCATGCCAGTCATTTCAGTACATGTGATTATCCCAGCTCTAAGACCCGTTTTGCAGAACAAATGTGGCTGCTTTCCAGTGCATGAACTTTTTTTTAATGTAAACCAGCCACACTTTATAGTGGATTTTGCATGTAAATTATTTGTTTACTTAGCAGCCACAGTAATGTTGGAATAAAAGGTCGACTCAAAACATCAAAATTGACAAGACACAGCAGTAAAAGGTTACTAGCAGCCAGTGGTTAATCTCAGCTATCAAGTTCACACCTTTGTCCTTTTGAACATGCAGTCTGGGCAAGCAGATAGTTGGATTTCATTAGTGAAACGTAATAAAATTTAAAGATCATCCGTTTGGCCACCAGGGCTTTTGCATAGGCTGATAAGGTGAAAATATGTGGAGCCCCAGTAGTCTCTGTCATGGGGCTCTTCACAGGTTCCACAGAAGATCCCTGATGCTGTTCAGTCACACTCCCCAGCCAGTCGGGTTTTCTTTCCTTCCTCCATGCCAGCAGTGGGGAGTGTTGATTTGGTGCACTTTTACGATCCTATTTTGTCCACATAAACAAGATCATCCATCTCCCTTAAGGGGATGACCTCGGGTGCACTTCTGCTTTTAACCTTGCTTTTCACCAGCTAATTCATTCTGCCTCAGCTCTGACCCAGTATGTCTCTGTACAGCTCTGGAACTCTTTCTGGATCTACAGGTCTTGGTAGGAAGTGAGTGAACCTCTGATGCCTCCTTGATCTTGTTCCATCACGGGACGTCCCATCTTTGTTCAAAGCAACAAAATAAAATGAACCTTTCTCTCCATGCCGATAGATGTTAGAGGAGTAGGTGTTGTACCAGTTTTCTTCAAATTGCTCTCTGAAAACACATTCTGCTGACAGCTTCTCCTGCAGAAAGACAGGACAACAAAAGATGAGTTTTAGGGTGCAAAATGTGCCACCTACTGGCTGTGGACATCATTCTTGAAAAAAAAAAAAATGTGTGTGCCAATATGTATCTGTTCAAAGGTGTATACTTACAGAGCCATACAATTCTCCCTTGCTGTTCATGGCAAGGTAAAGACCACTGTCCACCCCTTTGATGCTGACGAGTCCCACAGCTAAACTGATGAATTCCAGTATACCTGCAAACACACATTACATTACATTAATTAATCAATCATTAATTAATTAAGCAATCATTAGCATATCTGGCAACATGGAAATATTAAATAGCAATTCATATTTGGTATAATAGAGCACTAGTCTTGCTGACAACGTTTCAGTTTACTAAATTGTGTCTGTTCTCCATACAAATTCGTAGAGTCCATCAAATGCCTCTGACAAGTTAGGTTAGAGTGGTTTCTGGTATGAGGTTACAACCAAATCTCAAATGAAATGAATCAAGTACCAGAGGCGCTACAACCTTGCAGCGATAAATAATCTACTTTTGATGTGCCGCAACCTGCAGCTTTTTATCTTGATAGCTGGAGATAAGTTTGTAAAAGCGTCCAATCTAATCTGAAAGAGGAAACGTGGTAGAAATGTGCAAACATAAAATATCTCAAATGTTGTTCCACCTGGAAATAGCGGCTGCATTCATGATTAGCGTTTGATCACAGCAGCCTGTATTGGCATGGGTATTTCAAGTCACGACGGCTGTGACTGTAGGAGTGATGCAGCTATTTTCCCGTATGAGTTATAAGTCCTCTGTTATAACTCATGGCCACCTCTATTTTATATATTATTTGGTATATAATCCAGTAAGCTATTCGCTGCTGTATGCTGATTATCACTATTTCCTCCCCTGTTTAGATTCTGTTTGTATGTGAGTCTGTCAGCGTCTCCACCACAAAGATACCTGACAGTGTGTCAATCAGTCTGAAAATTCAAAATAGCTTTTCTATGCTCTTACTACTACTTGTGCTGCCAGAATTCACAGGCTCTGTACCGAATCTGCTGTGGTCTTTCCTGGTGCCCTGTACGGTGCCGTCAGGATGAATCTCCAGGTGGAACCCGGTCCTGCAGTACAGCTGCCTCCGCCTCAGAATCCCCTTCAGATGGCTGAGGTCCGCCAGGCTCCGGGACAGCCTCTCCGCAGACATTAGGTGCTCTTGCTGTTGTCCATGTCCCCCCATTATCAATCCGGTCGCCGAATTGTAGTCCACCGCCCCGGCAGGGGTGAGAATAAACTGAGAGCCAACGGGAGCCGGAACGGCACCAAAGCTGTCCAAAAATCCGTTGGCGAAGCTCCCAACCTCGGCCGCTGCCCCCATCACAGATGACACACCAGATCCTGTTTGCAGCGTAGGAGCTCCAAGTCGAGTTCCAAGTGATGAGTAGAGAGCCTCTATATGAGCAAGTGAGCGAAGGTCAAGCCGAAAGGCGAAGAAAAGGAAAAAGTTGACCGTGCGTGCAGAGAAAATCCCTAGTGATCAGACTGGCATCTAATTGAGATTAAACTCCTGCGTTATCTTGATGTTGGATGCGTACGCATCCCCGCTTGCTGCAGCGTGTGTCCCCCGTCTCCTCTCTTCTGCTATTTATCCTTCTTTCCTCTCTTCTATTCTCTCCTCTTCAACTCGGGATACTCCCCCTTTGCTCCGGTGCGCACCAGGGTTTTCCTCTCTCTCTCGCTCTCTTTCTCACCCCCCTCTCTTGCTCTCTTGCTCTCTCTCGCTAAATTCACTTCAGCCTTTTATTTCTTCTCTCAAGTGATACCTCCCCCAGCAGCAGTGTGTAGCGCAGTGAAACCAGTGCAAACCACTCCACATTTATAGCGCACTGCCTCCTATTAACCCCAGGTTGCCTTTTATGCAAATATGGCCCGATCCCCTCTCTTTATGGCTAATTTTTGTTCTCGCTATTCTCCCGTCTCACCTTTGATGTTCAGTCTTAGCGCAGGGGCACGTGAGAGGAAAATTAATAACCCCTAATAAAAATTAGCATGACAGGCGTATTTTCCCTTACTTCCCCTCAAGCTACACCAATGTTTCCCTGACTCACAAACGGACAAAATGTCATTTTGCTCGTGGACACTTCAGCAGCAGATTAAACAGATTAAACTGTACAGGTGTTTATAAGAGTTGCTGCGGAGCGCGCGTCTCTGCAACTTGGGTGTGAAATAGTCGTGGAGAGAAAGAAACAGCGTGTGCATGTCAAATAGGCATGAAAGTGATGTTGCCATTATCTTAAATGCTTTACATCTCAGTGCCCCCATTTCGAAATGGCTCAGGTGCAGAGAGAAAGAGGGGCGAGGAAAGCCCCCATTTGCGTAATTTTCGCACTCGACTGTTGATTTATTGCTCCTGTTTTATGTAACCCAGCCGCACATTTACAGCACCCGCACACACAGACACACACACAGCCGTACACATGCACCCACACACACCTGTGCAAACGACATCACTTGACTGTCAATCCTTTCATTGATCTTTCCACGATGCTTTGAACAACACTGGAGCTCATATATACCCTTAATTGTGGTCTTACGAGACGAATCAAAGAAACAGAGGCTTCAAAGCGCAGGGATCTTGTAAGGGGATCAGGCAATAACAACCAGAAGACGGGAACGGGAATATACCTGTTTGAACCACACGCTTAGAAAATACCCCGACACTTGACACTGAAGGACTTGGGGGGGGGAGGGGGGGGGGGTAAAATAAGTGCGATTTTGAGAGAAAAAAACGGAGTTTGTTGTGGAAACAAATATTTTTAGTGATCATAACAATGAACACGCTCCAGTGGTTATAAGTTTAGGAAACTTTATACTGAGTATATCAGATTAGTGTAAAATATCAGTCTACTATTGAAGTTGACCGTGATCATGGCGGTTTGGTAATAAAAGCCTGTGGATTGCCAGATTCCAAAAAGACGCTTTTTCGAAACACCGGCTAAACAGTCCTTTCTTAATTTTTATGGTGCGACGTCATTTATTTAGCTCTGAATTGCTCAACACTATTTATCCTCTAATACAGACTGTGATTTTATTTAAACCAAGGGCACGAAGCATGGTCTTATGTTCCAGATCATGGCATTGATTGGGGCAGCAATACAGACACATGGTCGTGCACACAAACGCAAGCGCTCACACTGCCTCCCCTTCCCCTGGGAGTCCCGTTGATAAATGAGTTGAAGGTCCAGAGGTGTTGCTGTGCCATACTCGGGTCATTTTGTACTCATGTCAGGTCCTGCAGCATGACAAAAAGTCATATACCCACACCAATAACACGGGTCTACTTGTCACGCTGCAGGACCTGACATAGTTATTAAGTACAAAATGTTTCTTATAACGCCAGTTTTCTGCACTGCCTTTGCACACGTGTGTGTGACAGACAAGTTAGAGGGCATCTATGTGTGTGGCGCGTGTCCTTCTCCCTCTTTCCCTCGGTTCATTAGTATTTATGACCAGCACAAAAAGAACTTTTTTTAAAGGGCGACAGGATCAATCGTAATCGCCTCAGGCCGATCTGGTCCAGTATTGGATATCGATTTGGCCTCAGTGAAGACGTCAACTACTACGCCACATCGTCCTGGGAACTGTTCACACAAGGCGCAAGTGATCAGTTCCCAGGACCACATGATTCGCTAAAGGGTAGGTTTTCTTTTACAACGCTGCAAGTGGGACATGGAGGGAAGCCAAGCATATAGGAACATAGCTGTCATGGAGGAGGAGGGTGACGATGATGATGAGGAGGTCCCTAGGGTTATACCCCCACCTCTAACCCCTCACCCACACACACACACAATACACACACAAAGAAATCACAACCTAATCGAATGCCTGGATAATGGAATAACTGAATAAGTAGCCTAGAGGTTATTAATGCAAGTGGTCTCCAAACTAGGGTCGAGCGAACCCAGGGCACGATTCAGAGGGCCCCATGAAAGTGCAGACTTTGATTTCATCATATTTTAATCTTCATAGGTCAGTCAGAAAATGCAGGAAAAAAAAGAAAATCATATTTCGGCAATCTTTCGTGCATAGATAGATTAAAAATAAGTGACCTGCATGCAGATATGGTACTTTGTATCTACCTGAACCCCTATGAATACCTTTATTGTTGTGATCCAGCAAAATATTGCATTTTTTTGTGTCAAAGTAATTAAAGTTGAATAAAGATTTGGAGACATTTTACAGCTTTTCAAATTGCAGTTTCATAAAAAAAAATGCAACCAGTAAACCAGGAAACTTAATTAGGATTAGTCACCATGATACATTAATGATGTTTGGGTTGTGAAGAAAATAGAAATCAAAGCAATAATTAAAGCGTTTAATATCAATACTCAGTCTTTTAAATGGTTGATTTCTATCAAGAGGTTTTAGACATTGTTTGATCTGTTTTCAGCTTATGGGCCAAGTGATCCACTGAGCTTCATGTGTGAACAGGTGACAGGCCATCTATTAGACTTCTTCCCTTTATTGTTTCAGCATCAAAGTCATCAGAAAAGCCCCATCAGGTTAACATTAGCCCTACATGTGAGGACTTAAATGAAGAGTTCATCTTTGATATTTGTTTGATATCTGCTCTTTTGGCTCCTTTGATCCATCACTTACAACTGGAAATTCGACACTACATTGACCCTTCGTGAATATTGACAAATAGCGATATCAATAATATCATTACTCATTTAGAGACCCCCCCCCCAAAAAAAAAAAAAAAAAAAAAATACAATCTATTTAATTTATTTCAAGATGTGCCCATGCTCACCTGACAAGATACTTAAGATGATGCCGTGGAATATGTTTTACTGAGTCGTTTTCTTATTCTTTCCATGTGTGTCACAGTTAGTCTGCCAGCTGCCAGTACCTTATGAAGTAGTACAACTGTCTTTGCACATTTTTAAAATACTTCAGAGTAGTCGTTATATACTTCTATTAGGTTATTGCAGGCCTAACTTCTAAATGAGAAAACGTATATATGTTCTACTTTATTCAATGCCACTTCTCAGATGCACTACTCCGTTTAGAAAATAAAGCTGTCTATATATATTTCACTATATTTCACATGCATTTTAATTTAATATTCAGTATTTTTGATTTTGGCGTAGGCTGTTAATATGGCCTCTTTTATGCGAACTGGATAAGCTTGAGTTTAGCTTCATAATAGTTTATCTCTCTGTGTTTATAATTGACCTTGGTTAAAATGAATCACTCAGCGAAGCATCAAATCCTCCGCGCTGTGCGGGACTTTGTTCTCTGTCATGCCAAGAACAGAAAGGCCGTAAATCTCGCGATGAAATCAGGGAAACGCGATACTTTTGAGCTGCCCTCAAAGTTACAATCACAGCAGCCAAGCAGAAGCTACTACCACGGCAGCAATGGCTGCTTTCCGCAGAGTGGCAGCACTGGCCGGCAAGCTCAACCTCTGGTCGGCGACACGAAACGAGCTGGTCGGTGGGCAGACGGCCAATGGAAGAAGGACCTGGAGGTGTCTGGCAGCCGGGGTTTGCGTTGCAACGGGTGGCGCCGTACTTTACTTCTACAACGGTTTAATAAGCGGCGGAGGCAGGAAGAGGATAAGGAGGCACAGCATCAACGGTTTGCTCCCGTCCATCCCGACTGTTGAAGCCAAAGAGAAGGTAGGTGGCACAAACTGAGCTGCTGCAGATAACGACAAAACCGAAGCTGCCGTGACACACAACGAGGTGGTTGATTGTTGGTCGAAAATGTGTAACTGCTGACACACGGGCCTCAGTGCTCAAGACTGTGGAAGGACATAGTCGAGAGAAGAGGGAGAGAAGGCAAAGAGCGCTGGGTATTTCCTCGTTTCCTTCCGCTAAGATTAGACACACAGGCCCAGTCAGACAGGCCCACTTTTCTTTCTGTAGCCATGGTGAGCTTGTTTTTTATAGAATTTTTTTTTTCTGGGGTGGATAAAGTGTGTCACTCATTCCTAGGACGCTCAGTGGAAACAGTTCGCTCACTCCTTGGCTGTTGGGCGATGTGCGCGCGCAGATGCAAGAAGGGCGCTCTCCGCTCGAGCTGGTGCTGAAATGACAGCAAGCTCGAGATGTCAATCAGACAGCTTTGTGCAGAGGCAGGTCAGGCAGACAGAAGTTCTCAGAGATTTCCATGAAAATAATACAGTCATGTACATTAAAGGTTTGATACAATAAAAACATTTTAAAAACCCCACCATACTATAATTCAAAGTTCTAAAAGTTAAAGTTATCTCTGTAAATCATTGCACATTACAAAAAATATATATTATAGTATTGAGTATAATTGTTGATTCACTCAAATGTAAAGCACTATAATAACTCATTTATGATATTAGTATTAATAACCATGATCCATATGATATCAGTAATTTCAATCTGAAACAAAGGTGTAGGAAGTACAACTTGAAATGACTCATGTATACTTAAAGCATCAGTTATGCTAGGATGACTCACAATATATAAGGCAATATACAATTTGTTGTATATAAGCTGGCCAAGATATCAACACATTATTAATACATGTAGTTGTTTTAAATGGATTTCCTTGCCATGCTTA